CAAATATGCAATCCTAAAAACCACTTGTAGTAATAAAAGCTCAAACTCAAGATTGCTTACACTCAAACTCAAAATTGCTTACACTCACCACATATATGCATTGTATAATTGTTGCTATAGAAAATGAAAACTGATTTTGTTGTTAGTATAGATGATTTTGCCACACAATGCAACTGTAAATGGCAATGTGTGGCAACAAGCCAAGCAATAAAAAATAAACCCACAAACCTTTATCAACTTTTATCAAACACCACAAGCCAAAATCCCCACCTCACAAACCAGAATTCTGCAACAAGAAAATTCATTGCTCCATTTCTCCAAGAGGATAGAGATGACACTAATGTCTAAAGCACTATGCCTCTAATACCATGTGAAGAGTCTCCATCTAACACTCTAAAGAAAGAGAGCAGCTCTTACAAAATAGCAAAAAAAATAAAAAACTTAAATTGAAATAATGTGACTGAAGCCACTTGGCTTGACTCTAAGAGTGGTAAGATAGGATGGCATTGGTGGCTGCCACATTCTCTACTTTGGTGGCAGGAATACCCTTTATTCACAACATCTAGAGGGATGAGCATACCTATACATAGAAGCTACTTAAACAAGCTATGGCATGCAATTTGTAAAAGGGTGAGTGTTACTGTGGTAGATTTCACTCACAATACATTGTCCATGTGGTAGTTTTTCTATTGGTTTGGCATTAAATGTCATTTGGATCCCTCATGGATACCCCATGGATGCTGGCCCGATGGGTTGATGATGTCCCCATAATATGAACAATGTTTTATATATAGATGCCACATATCATCAAGTTTGACCCCATGACATAGGGATTCATTAGGTCATAGGGTTTAAGAGATGCTTCCTTGTTTTAGCGCCCTGCTTTAGTGCTTTGTTATTTGGCATGTTTCTTGGTAGCACATGTGGAAGGTAACTTGGTTTGCTAGTGATTGGTTTCAAATGTTTTTGTGGGCAGTGTTGGAAGTGGCTTTGATTTACTACTCGATTGCTCTCTATGGACTTTCAAGTTTTTACCATGAGTATAGTTCCCTCTCTAGTTTACTTCAAATTTTTGTCACTGAAAATTTTTCTTCCAGGTTACTAGAAGACGTGGAGGAAGATAATATGGATAGCCTTCCATCCAATTTTAGTAATCCGGACTGCGGTTCCAATATGGATAGTGACAATGATGCTCTCCCAAAGGTTTGCTTAGTTTCTAGCTTCCTAAATTCATGATTTGCATGTTTCTAGGCTTTCTATAATTTTTTGCAATTAAGGGGATTCGGTAGTCCAGCTGCATTTGGTACTTGGATGCACCTGAAGATCCTCAAGACTAAGACTACTACTTACCTCGCATGCTATCTTAGAATTTCTAAGCCAACACTATACAAATACATGTGGCTTGTTGATTTAAATTGGAGAGGTGTATATTACAAAGTACCACTCGAAGAGATACTTCATCACGTTCGAACTAACAATGCCATGAATTAAGGTGGCACAAACTGGGGGATTATCAATTCCCAATCTAGCTGTTGAACTGGAGGATACCAGTTTAGCCGATGCCAAATTTGTGAGGCTTTAGCCACTCACGATCCCATAAGGCTGGAACAGAGGCACATGACAAGGATTTGACAACGGATTTATAGGAACGAGGAGGCATATGCACTTTGCCATATGGATTGTGAGTATTTTTTCATTTCTGCTTTTTTGTTAGCACATGTGGTAACATGCTTATTGTAGCATATTGCAAGCTTGTAAGCTATGGTTTCTATGTATATGCCATTATTTGCTAGGCAACTCATATATTGTAGCTTGCGAGCTAGCTACCTCCAAAAAATCCCATGCAATATTCAACACATATGCACAGGCTGTTCGTCGATTTGCAAGGCCCAAGCACATCCGAAGCGACAATGCTCCAGAACACAATGAGGTTAAGAGGGACATGGTCCGCTGTTGGGGTCCTACAGCTAGGAGCTTTATATGTGGGACATCAACATGTAACCAGGTACTCACAGCATTAGAGTTTTTCCAAATAAGGACTAAATCAAATTTGTTTTACAGCACATAAAGCATTTGTGGAGAGAGCTCTTTGAGCGCGTGCTGTGGTTTTATAAGCACCTTTTTGAGTCCATGGAAGATATAGGAATTCTTGATGTATCTAATCCATAACACGACCAGAGTCTATGTTGTGGCTTTGCTCCGTACCTCAAGAAGTTTCACATTGGGTTGCAACTTGGAACGCCCATGAGGTCCGTCTGTATCAATGTGGTGATTACTTTAGACCATCTCATATTCCTGCAAACTTATTTCAACCGATGGAACGAGAGTTTGGGTAAGAATTTTGGTAATGTTACAGAATTCTTTATTAATTGTATTTTTGTAGGATTATGCCGGCTGTTGGTGGAAAAGATATTGAAAACCTTCCTGGACCATTTCTCTCCAATGTCGAAGGTGCAACTTTGTCAGAGGTAATCTTTAGAACAAAAATAGAACAATTTCTTTAAATCTATTTTGTTGTTTTTGGCTCATGGCACTGTTCAAAACTAGGCATTTTATGCATCGGGAGGGACTCAACTTGGATAAACAATATCTACTTCATTTGGATCTAACAATGGAGTGTGCAATGGCTGATGTTATAGGTGTAGATCTACCACTTTACATCGAGAGTGCCTTGCCTACAGCAATACCAATGAAGCAAGGAGTTTTGGAAAAATTATAGTTGGCCATACTCAGAGAAAATTAAGTGTTCTTTAGTGTACATTTCAAATTTAAATTCAATTCTTGATTTCTTCAATTTTAGGGTTTCCACGTTCGAGATTTGGGTTTGCACCAAGTCCCACCTATATTAATTGTGCCTTGGATACGGGGCAATTTCATTTTATGACATAATTTTGTCAGTGGTTCATTCGTTCTTCCAATTGATTCACATCATCTAACTGGAGGCAAGGCTTCTAGTGCACACTCCCCCAATTGCAGGACCACCGCCCAAGCAAAAGCACCACAGCTGTGATAGTGGGTAGTTTCTCCTTGATCAGGTTTGCATAACCAATCCCTTATGGTTTCTAGGCTCGAAGTAAGACCACCACACGCCTCAACAGTAGTAGACACTATGTAGGAAACACCTTGTGAGCACGCAACTAAGCACTCAATGTTCCGCAATCGGTACAGCCAACAATCCCACAAGACACACACCAACCACTTGATTTTCCAAGTTCTGCAACAAGGACATCAACTCCAATAGCATCCCATCCACAGCTCCTGACTGCATTTTAGTAAGTAAAGTGCCGCCTAACATTGCATACAATGCAACATATGCGAAACCTCCAGCATGTTTCCTTCTCCTCACCTTCCTTGGAAAGTAGCAGCCCGAGCATCTGAAATGAGCAAGTCCGAACGCCTCATGCCCACAGTGTTGTCCAATCTAGATAGTTTTATCAGTTTTATCAGTTTTATCAGTTTTATTGTGTTAGACTCTCTCACCGCTTATGGTTGTAGTGCACACTTATGCTGATAATAATTAGTAGTCCTTATTTTGTCATCATAGACGTCGTAGCAGTCAATCCAAAGTCATTGGTGGGATGTCATCTATGACACCCTTGGTCCCCCGGCCATTCACCACAGTTCTTATCACCAAGTGGATTGCAATCCCGAAAACTTGGCATGCACACTTGTATGAGCAGAAAAGAGAGCCATCTGTGAAGGTGACGGAACTTGACGAGCTGGCAATGGACCTCCCAAAGTGTCTCATATGGGGTGGCTTATACTCCAGTATTCCTTTCTAGCCCAACATGGCCCAACATACGATTCTACTATAACTCCAAGCCTCAAGAATCCAACCTTCATCCATGACCAACCCAGAAGCATTTGTCCAGCGTGCAAGGCAGTCTAATGGTGGTGAGGCCCATGCTCAATTTGCAAAATTTAGCCTCAACTCTATCCGACATTTCTACTGGCCTCCTCAAACATCATGGGGAGCTATAACAAACAAAGGCCAATAGTAACTGGGTAATAGTAATATACCTATATAATATTATGGAGCATCATATTGACAAACATTGGCTAAGTTATCAAAAGCAGGCCCAAGCATTCGAGGAGAAGGATGTTCGTGAACATAAGTCATTTTTTTTTTAAGTTCCCTGCTCACAAATATATGTTGTGGTCTTTGCAGTTGTAGCTACTATAAATACCTTGACTGCAAATGATGATCCTTTGGTGATAGAGCCATTTCTCCCAAGGCCAGCCACGTAAAAACCAAACCAAGATGAGAATAATGATGAAGAAGACTCTATGGATGAAGAGGACATTCTTCCAGTATCGGAAGATACTCTTCCCATACAAGATAACATGGACATCACCGGAGTCAAAGAATAAGGTGATGGTGGGGATGAACCGCATCAAGGATCTTCGGAGACATCCTTGTCACTAGAGATAGTGGCTCCAAGCCATATAGCTGGTAAAAAGCATGAACATAAATAAATATTTTCTTCATTTTCTAATTTTTGAGTGTAGATAAGCCAATGGTAGTGTATGATAGTGATGGCAGAGGCCTTGAAGACCATGGTGTGCCTCCACCCCCCTTTCTAGAGGGAAGGAGCTCCACTTCACTTACTCTTATGGAGTTGCTTGACAACTTTTCTACAGTAGAGTAAGATAATTGAAAATTGTGCCATTCAAAATTGAACTAACATTTGCATGTAGATTGTTGGAGCGTCAACAATAATGGATTGCAATGAAGTGGTTTGATAAGATTTTCAAGCCTTTACTGAACTTTAGATCACAAAATATTTTGAGGTGATAGTCCATTACAGGTTTGTCAATGCTAGCGTCTCTAAAATTCGTACCTCTGCAGAACTCCATCCTCATCATCATCCTTGTCCTCCTCTGACCACAAATCCGTGTCCACAAGTCCACACTTTAGAAGCCCGCACTTTAGAAGCACCCGCTTCGTTTATCTGCAGCATCGGCTTATCGCTGCAATCGTCGAGAAGCACAAGCTTGGCTAGAAAAACCAACAATTCCCAAAATTTCCAAAATGTGATGGTTAAATGTAAACATCCAAGGCTGAAACACTGAAGACTATTCAAGGACGCTTATCGTGGTGATGGCAATATGGCTCGTCACCACGAAAACGCCGACAGGGATTTCCACTTCCCGTGCTCAAGGAACCGCACCGACCAAGCTTTCTCAACTCCTCCGCCTCAGCTTTAGCTTCTTCAGGGTTGCTTGCCACCTTGACGTTCTTGCTACTCTCGAGATGCAGCCTGCAGCATGCAACGTCGATGACTTTCAGCATTTCACTCAAACGGCCAAAACAAATGAACACCTCCTTGTAACCCACGCCATTGCGTATCCATATCTTATCAGCACTGTCCACTGCCAAGATCCAGACAAGAACCTTCTCTCGCGCGTCACCTTTTGTCATCTCCAAAAATCGCGAGAGCGTATTTCCATGCTTCAATACCACATCCACCCCAGTCGCTATTTGCACCCACAAAACGTGCTTCTCGTTTTCTCCAAGGCAATCAACTCCCGTGTGGTTGAACTTCACAGGTGGGAAGAAACGAGAAACATTGTCCGCGATCAGAAATTGGGGAGAGAAATCACCTTCGAATCTGACAACCACTTCAGGTTTGAAGTTAAGCTGCAGACCTTCCGTGTCAATAACGATACCATAGTGTTTGATGAAAATGAGAGTTGCCATTTCTGCGTTCCACCCAACCCGAGCACTGTTGTCGTCGTGCCGGATCAGCCCTGTCCATTGGCCGATGCCCATCCTAGCCTCAAAGTCGGACGCGTACCGCAGAGTCTCGGTGATGAGCACCATAGTGCGCGCACGCAGAGAATCTGATAGACATTTTCCTGTTTGTGTCTCTGGATCCACGTAGAAGCATCGAGTGTCTAGCGCGTCTCGCAACACCCTTCTAATCGTTTCCACTCCGCCGAGCACAGCTATGAAGGAATCCCAGCGATCTCGGTCCTTGACCGCCTCTTGGATATACTCTCGCAGCCCAGCTTCGTACATGTGGTACGTGGTCCGTAGTTTCCAGGTCCCGTAATGAGCGACAAGCCCGGGAACCCAGCCAGTCTCACTTTTGAATTCCGAGCAGAGCTCCATGTCGGACAAATTCAGCTCCTCCTCAGATCCATCAACCTGCTTCATCGCGTCGGTAAGCCGTAAAATCACACATTTCATTTACCTTAATGCGCTTAGCATTTGCATTCAACTTCCGGTGTTCTTGCCTTGTGCGAAGCCTGCAATACGCCACAATTGGATCCTCCTACTCCAAACCATTAGTAGGCTTTAAAGGAAGAAACAGTAAACACTACCACTTGGAGCCGCCCGGCACGACGAACCTCGTGTTCGCAATATGCCTGCAGTTCCTCAGCCTGTTGGATAAAAGGAAAAGCACACAAGTTAGCCCCACACCAGTGTTGGAAAGTAGTCGCTACTTACGCTGTAACCACCTGTGACTAACATGTACGGAGGGCTTTTGTCGCTCACTACTCTGCTCCTCCACAGAGGTCCGACGGACGAACAGTAGACAACGACGTGCAGCAATTGCATCGTCTTCATAGAATGGTAAGCCTCGTCTCTTCTTTCCGCGCTGGGAGCCCCCAGTTTTCTGTTGAGCGTGGTGTCAAACGCGTTGGCCTCGTCCACAAGAAAGTAAAGCTGCTCTGACCATCTCGACAGGATCCAAGATTCTAATGCTTCCAAGGTCCACCCCCGGCACAAAAGCTCGGCTGGAAGGTCGTCTATGTAGCTCAGCAAAAGAGCCAGCCACATTGTCCTCAAGGGATTGTCGACCAAATCTTCGCCATTGATAAAGACGACCTTCTTGGAGGTGTTCTTCCAAAGGTGCCGAAGATATCCAGCCACAGTAGCAAGAACAGTGGTCTTCCCAGACCACCCCGGAGTTCCAATAATTATACCTGGAGGTTTGTTGTCATTATCCGAAGTGCCGTGTCTCAAGGCCGATACAAAACTTTCTATCTCCTTGAAGAGTGAGCGACCCATGTACATGTATGTTTGATTGCCATCAGTTCCAGAGAAAGCGGGAATATGGAGCTCCCGAAAAGTCGCATGGCTTGTCCAGTCAATGCCGCCGTCAGCAAAATCTGCGGTCAGGTTCTCGTCCAGCTTTTTGGCCCAGGCGATCATGTCTGAAACAAAAAACTATGGCATTCAGTCCCCTAGACATCATTCTTACCAGGCACGTAAGAATCGGCTGGAGGAAGTCCCGCTGCTGGCGCTGGTGCTGTGAGAGGCACAATAAAGTCTATGGAGGAATGGCCACAGAATTAAACACAGCCAAAGGGCAAACAGGGGTGGAGATTACGAGATATCCACACAGAAAGAAAGAAACAGATTCAGGAAGCAAAAATCCTTAACCGTGACCAGACAGGGAAAGCAAAGCAGGACAGTGGAGCCGCTCCGGGATAAAGAGTTGCTGCTGCTCCGGGTGAAAGAGAGGCTGCTGCGGGAGAGGAGAAAGAGATCCTTAGTCATCTCTTCCATGTGTGGTTATGGTCAGGGATTTCGCAACACAGATCTGAGAGGTTAATGGGACTCGACAGAGAGGGCTACCAGATTGGCAGCGACGAAATTTGAAAGAAAAGGCATCGGGGAATGACCAAGTAAAACACAAGACAGACATGAAAAGCAAACAAGGGGGCTTTGGAGGAACGCACAGACTTGTGAGCAGAACTGAGCAAACTCTAGTGTCAGGCCGAAAAACATACCAGTCATCCCAAAGAGAAGACACCCAACTATTACTAGACAGACAGCATTAAAGTAGCATCCAGAACTGGACAAATGGAATACCAAGAACTGGACAGAAAATGGGGATGCATGTGCAAGGAAACGAAGGGCTTTCGCAATTGCTTACCAGATCCGCGCACTGCAACATTCAGAACAAAACAAAGTTAGCATTAGATCTAGAAGAAAAAACCAGGGTCTCAACAGCCATAGCCATACAAGGACGACCAAGGATCCATAAGGGAGCATGCATCCACCGGCAGCATAGCCAAAAGCCACCATAGCCACACTTCCAGCAACCCAAAATAAAAGCGAATTGAAGCTACCTCTGGCAAAATCCTTAACCATGGCCGAAAGCAGCCATAGCCACATGGAACCACACACACAGTAAAACGTCCAAACTCGAGGGGGAAAGCAATACACAAAGAATGACTTACCATTAGATTTGAGGAGGAGGAGTTCCTTGTTCCGCAGCTGTTCTTCTTCCTTCCGCAGCTGTTCTTCTTCCTTCCACAGCTGTTCTTCTTCCTTCTGCCAATATTCCACCAGAGATTGATTGCCACTCTCACAGGCAGAGAGAAAAGATTCCCCAGCCGCTTGGATCTGCGGCTGAAGAAGCCCGATTTGAGCCTGCACCTTAGCCAATTCCTCGTCCATTTCGTTAGTTGAAATCCTCGCCGCCGCGCGCTGGGATCGATGATCCGGAGAGCGATCAAGGGCGCTCAG